TACCAAATTGTCATAACTTAAGATCATTAGTGTAACCAAAATCGGGGAGGAGGTTGGGAGTGGTGGTGACAGGACTCAGCAGAGAAACTGGCATTTAAGAACCAGACTGAAACAGTATCTGAAGTCTTCAGAACTGCTGAAGATAATGTCGATCAGAATGGAGATAATGGAAAGTCAGCACAATCAAACTTGAACTGGTAGAAATTATCTAACCTAAATTATAGATAAATGAGTGAAAACAAGCTGATAGAGCCTCTGGCAACTGTAGGACGATTTCAGGAGGTCTCGCAATTGCATCATCTAATCTATGAAGAAAAAGCTTAGTGTAGAATAAACATTAGAAGAAGTGTTTGCTTTTACAATCTCAAGTTTGGTGAAAAATATAAAACTTACAGACTTAAATTCACTGTGATTTGGACATGGCAGTGCACACCTTTAATCCAAGCAGATCTCTGAGTTTGAGGTCAGCCAGGTCTACAGAGAGTTCCAGGATAGCCAGGGCTATGCAGAGAAACCCTTTTTCAAGAGAGAAAAGAAACTTCATTTGCAAGGGGTTATTAATTGGAACTAACTTCTGAGTCCAAGCTGGGATCTTGTATCCACTTCTTTCAGCACTGGACCCTCATCTAGCACAGACCCATTCAGGCCCTGTATTTGCTGCCACCGTATCCTGAGTTCATATGTGTGTCAGTCCTGTTGTGTTTAGAAGGCTTCGCTGCCTTGGTGTCCTCCATTCCCACTGGCTGTTAGAATCTTTCTGCCTTTTCTCTCACTTTTTTTGAGCTCTGAGGAAAGGGTTTTAATGAAGACATCCCATTTAGGGCTGAGTGTTCAGAGGTTTCTCACTCTGTACTTTGTTCTGGTTTTTGTTCTTATCTATTGCAGTAGCTTCTCTGGGCAGCATCTCTGAGGATGGCTGAGTAAGGCACTGATCTATGAGTGTATCTGACTGACAGGAGCCATTTTATTATTTCGTTCCTTTAGCAGAGCAGTAGTAGTTGAATTTCCCCCAGGCTCTCGGGCCTATCTAGTCTTAGACTCTGGGCCACTCTATCAGTATCAGGCATGGGTTCTGTCCCAGGGAGTGGGCCTTGTGTGGCTGCGTTGATGTATCACTCCACAGGAAATGACCAGTTTAGGCTCCATATCCCCTACTGCTAGAAGTCATAGATTCCTAGGTTTCTAGCTCATCCCAGAGATTCCAGTTGTCTCTCCCAATATTCTCTCCTTCCGTCTGCCTCACAACCTGATCTAATTTGTAGTTTTAAAAAACTAATTATTTATATTTATGGTTGTGAGCCTAGACTTACCCCTGGACCCAGCAATACCACTCTTGGGAATATACCCAAGAGAGGCCTTATCATACAACATAAGTATATGCTCTACGATGTTCATAGCAGCATTGTTTGTGATAGCCAGAACCTGGAAACAACCTAGATGCCCTTCAATGGAAGAATGGATGAAGAAAGTATGGAATATATACATATTAGAGTACTACTCAGCAGTAAAAAACAAGGGCTTCTTGAATTTTGCATGCAAATGGATGTAAATAGAAAACACTATCCTGAGTGAGGTAAGCCAGACCCAAAAAGAGGAACATGGGATATACTCACTCATATTTGGTTTCTAGCCATAAACCAAGGACATTGAGCCTATAATTAGTGATCCTAGAGAAGCTAAATAAGGAGAACCCAAAGAAAAACATATAGGCATCCTTCTGAATATTAAACTTCAGCAGGCGATGAAAGGAGACAGAGACCCACATTGGCGCACCGGACATAAATCTCAAGGTCCAAATCAGGAGCAGAAGGAGAGAGAGCACGAGCAAGGAACTCAGGACCGCAAGGGGTGCACCCACACACTGAGACAATGGGGATGTTCTACTGGGAACTCACCAAGGCCAGCTGGCCAGGGTCTGGAAAAGCCTGGGATAAAACCGGACTCTCTGAACATAACGGACAATGAGGACTACTGAGAACTCAAGAACAGTGGCAATGGGTTTCTGATCCTACTGCACGCACTGGCTTTGTGGGAGCCTAGGCAGTTTGGATGCTCAACTTACTAGACCTGGATGGAGGTGGGGGTTCCTTGGACTTCCCACAGGACAGGGAACCCTGATTGCTTTTTGGGCTGCGGGGGGGGGGGGACTTAATTGGGTGAGGGGGAGGGAAATGGGAGGCGGTGGCAGGGAAGAGACAGAAATCTTTAATAAATAAATAAATTTTAAAAAAACTAATTATTACCTTCTGTGAGCAAGAATATGATAGATTATGATTTAGCATATGATCCTTCTCTATGAAGACATTACAATCTAATGGAAGATAAAATTATAGTGTTAGAACCATGAACAGAGTGTTTTTATTACATAAATAGTGAATTAATGAAAACTGCTTATTCTATATACCTAGAAAGGGTTTATTTTATCTGAATACTTCCAGGTAACAGTCCATCACTGAGGAAGTCAGGTCAGAAACTGAAGCAGAAGTCATAGCACCTTACTGCTTACAGGCTTGCTCAGTTTGCTTTTTTATATACCAAAGATAATCTGCCCAGATATGGCACCTCCTACAGTGGGCTGATATATTACAAATTCTAATTGGTATTAATAATAAGAACCCAGAGTCAGATATAGGGTTAATGCTGAAGATCAGAGAAGTATATATACTATATAAAAGAGAGTTTTTACCTTTATCAATGCTCAGATTAAAGGGGCGAGCCTGTCCTCAGACTGCATCTCCAGAGTACTGCTGTCTCCACCAAACCTCAGACTGCCATGAGCTCCTGTCTCCTCTCGCATTATATTCCTCTCTCCACCCAGCCATATCACTCCTGTCTGTACCTCCCTAGTGCTGGGATCACCTTTGTGTGAGCTTGTTTCTCTTTTAGACAGATTCAATCTCATGTAGTCCAGGGTAGCCTTGAACTAACAGAGATTCCCTCTGCCCTGGTCTCTAGTGGCTTAGCTCTGCACTCTGATCTTCAGGCAGGTTTATTTGTTAAAACACAAACAAAATATCACTACAAGCTGAGTCCTCCTACATCAATCATTAAATAAGAAAACCTGTACAGACTTTCCTACAGGCAATCTGATGGAAGCATTTACTCAACTGATGTTTCTGTTTCCTAGATGTCTAGTATTAGGTTAACAAAAGCCAACCAAGACACAGACAAATAGTAAACATAATTTTAAATTTTTAAAATATACTTTATTTTAATATTAATGTTAATTATTTTTTAATATTTTTACTTTTGATTTCTCACTGGGCTATTATGTAGCCCAGGTGACCCTTGAACTTGGCATGTGATGCAAGTCTGAGTTCCTGGTCCTCCTGCCTCCACTTCCCGAGTACTAGGATTCCAGGTGGGCACCACTTCGCCAAGCTTGTTCTGGATTTTGCTATAGGTAGTTTTGTTTGATTGGTTTGGGGATTTTTTTTTTTTTTTTTGAGGCAGAGTCTCATGTAGTTCAGGCTAGTCAGGAATTTGCTATATAGGATGCTGTTTTGCCATGATTTTGTTGGGTTAAGCCTTTTAAGGGTAGAAAGACTACCACTGCCTCATGAGTGACATCTGGGAGGTTGAGTCCAGTGACAAGTCAGAGGAAATACTGCTTTTCACCCAAGGAAATTTTAATTATAGCACCGACAAGGCAAGTAGAGACAAAAAGTGAGAATATGTGTATGTGTGTAAATGTAAGGCTTCCCTTAAAGTTGAGAAACACACACTTTAAACACAAATCAGCCTGAGTTCAGATTCTTACCCTTGGGAGCTGGAGAGGTAGCTCAGCAGGTAAGATCACTTGCTGCTCTCCCAGAGAAGCCGGCTCTGTTCCCAGCACCTGTATTAGAGGTTCACAGCCACTGTGAGTTCAGCGCCAGGAGTTATGGTAACTTCCTATGACTTCTATGGATACCTGCATACACATGACAGACACAAAAACCTACAAATACACATAAATCAAAATGAATCTATTTTTAAACTCTCTGCTCCATATGACCCTGAACAGGTTGGATCTCTCTTGCTATAAATAACAATACTTTATAAGGTTCTGTTAGAGATTAATGCATAGTCTTTGTAGCAAAGAATATAAAAATTGACTTATTATTTATTGCAAGTTGGTTTACTTTTGTCTGAAGATTTACATTTTTACATTAAGAAATTTTATAAAATGAATAAAGCAAACACTAATAGTGGTTATAATACGGAAGCTATGTTTTGTCTGAAAAGTAGAAAGTGTTATTTACAGAGTAGAATTTTAAAAATGCTTAAGTGTGTAGCAGTGGAATTGTGAGTAAATGATAGGGTGCTGTGTGGGGGAGGATTGGAATAAAGACTGTAGATGAGCCTAGTGATGTGTTACTACAGAAGTGGGGTGCATTATCTTGTGCATCTTATAGTTAAACTCAGGTTCTGAGAGGTACAGAAAAGGCTGGGGATGCAGTTCAGCTGTCAAGGCACTTGTCTTCTATGGATGCAGCTCTGGGTTTTGACTCCCAGCACTGCATAAGACCAGGTGGGGTGGCATATGTCTGTAATCTCAGCACTGGGATGGAGGAAAGAGGAGGATTGGAAATCCAACGTCACCCTTGGCTAGATTTTGAGTTCAAGGTCAGCCTAGGCTATATGAGATGTTGCCTTGAACATAGATAAGTAATAGAATGCACAGAAAAACTGAAAGTACCACTAATAACTGTTAGAATAGAAAAACTTTGAGCAATTCTTTTATTTCCTTTATATATTAATACCATGAAATTATCATTATAATGAGATTAGATTATGTAAGAATACTCTTTGTTTAAAAAAAAAGCATATTTAGATTTCTTAATGTTTGGATCCATTAGTAAGACTGTTAATCTTAGGCCTTTAACTACTGAGGTATCATCCTTCTGTCATTGTGTTTTTCAGTCAGTCATTACAATTCAGTCTACTATGTTGACCGAATCGTAAAATAGAAAACTTTTAAGTATTTTTTTAAAAACTCTTGTGTTTTGGTATTACAGATTTATTTGAGGTTCTTAGATTACCAAATGGAACACTCAAATGAATGCAAGAGAAATTTTGTGGCGGTCTATGATGGAAGCAGTGCTATTGAAAATCTGAAGGCCAAGTTTTGTAGCACTGTGGCTAATGATGTAATGCTGAAAACAGGAGTGGGAGTGATACGGATGTGGGCAGATGAAGGCAGTCGGCTTAGCAGGTTTAGGATGCTCTTCACTTCCTTTGTGGAACGTAAGTAACTAATTCAAATCTATTGCATAATTTTTCCTCATTCACGATATGCTTACTGAATATCTACTTTTTTGACAGAAAAGTACTTTTATAATGTCATTTTGTAAATTGTCATATCACACTTTTTAACTCAACAGGAACATTTTCCTCACTAACTTACAGCAAACCCTTTGCCAAGTCAGCAAGTTAATACAGGAATAAAGGTCGTCAGGGCAGAATTTGGGAGTCAGATTATGGCACATGATGCAAAGACAAATGATTTTATACACCATAAAACACTAACTTTAAATACATAGTGAAACATGCTTGTTTTAAAAGCATCAACATTAATTATATTACAAACCAATGAATTATCCAAAGGAATTGTTTTTTCTCTTTCAGATACTTTTATCTTACATGCAGGGGGATAGATACAGATCTATTTGCATTCTTCTGCATGTTGACATCCAGTTATGCCAGCACTGTTTGTTGAAGATACTTTCTTTTTTTCATTGTATAACTTTAGGTTCTTTGTTAAAAATCAGGTGTTCATAGGTGCGTGATTAATATCAGGGTCTTCAATTCAATTCCGTTGGTCCATCTGTCTGTTTTTGTGCCAGTACCAAGCTGTTTTCATTACTATAGCTCTATAGCAGAGCTTGAAGTCAGGGATAGTGATGCCTACAGAAGTTCCTTTATTGTACAGGAATTTTTGGCTATCCTGGCTTGGTTTTTTTTTTCCATATGAAGTTGAGTATTGTTCTTTCAAGATCTGTGAAGAATTGTGTTGGGGTTTTGATGGGGATTACATTGAATCTGTAGATTGCTTTTGGTAAGATTGCCATTTTTACTATGTTTATCCTACCTACCCAAGAGCATGGGAGATCTTTCCATTTTCTGGTATCTTCTTCAATTTCTTTCTTTAAAGACGTAAAGGTCTTGTCATACAGGTCTTTCACTTGTTTGATTAGAGTTACCCCAAGATATTTTATATTGTAGCTATTGTGAAGGATGATGTTCTCTGATTTCTCTCTCAGCCCGTTATCATCTGTATATAGGAGACCTACTGGTTTTCTTTTAGTTAATCTTGTGTCCTGCCATATTACAAAGGTGTTTATCAGCTATAGGAGTTCCCTTGTAGAATTTTTTGGGTCACTTATGTAAACTATCATATATCTGCTAATAGTGGGTTTGACTTCTTCCCTTCCAATTTGTATTCCCTTGATCTCTTTTTGTTGTCTTATTGCTCTAGCTGGAACTTTGAATACTGTATTGAGTAGATATGGAGAAAGTGGACAACCTTTTCTTATTCCTGATTTTAATGTAATCTCTTTGAGTTTTTCTCCATTTAGTTTAGTGTTAGCTGTTAGCTTGCAGTATGTTGCCTTTATTATGTTTAGATATTATTGGATTTTGTCAAAGGTTTTTTCTATATCTAATGAGATGGTCGTATTTTTTTTATTTCAGTTTATTTATATGGTGGATTATTACATTGACAGATTTTCATATGTTGAATCATTCCTGCATCTCTGGAATTAAGCCTCCTTGGACATGGTGTATAATTTTTCTAATATGTTCTTGATTTCTATTTTCCAGTAATTTGAGTATTTTTACATCAATGTTCATGAGTGAGATTGGTCTGTAATTCTCTTTGTTGAGACTTTCTGTGGTTTGGGCATCAGGGTAATTGTAGCCTCATAAAAAGAGATTCTCTCTTCCATCTCTTGTATTCTGTAATTCCTGATAATTTACCCAGATTTTCCATTTCCATAATTCTCTCGGTTTGTATTTTATTTATTGCCTCCATTTCAGTTTTCAAGTCTTGAACCATTTCCTTTACTTGTTTGAATGTTTTTTTTTTTCTTGGCTTTCTTTGCTTTCTTTAAGGGATTTGTTGATTTCTTCCCATTTTTGTTTGTCTTTTCCTCTACTTTAATGGAATTTTTTCATTTCTTCTTTAAGGGCCTCTAGCATGTTCTTTAAGTTATTTTTAAGGTCCTTTTCTTCTGATTCATCTGTGTTGGGCTGTTCAGGTCTTGTGGTGTGGGACCACCAGTTTCTGGTGGTGTCATACTGCTCCTTATGTTTTATGTGTTCTTGCACTGGCGTGTGCCCATCTCTCCCTCCAGTGGGTGCAAGTGCTTCAGGGGTCCCTCTTCCTCCAGTGGGTGCAAGTGGGACCTGTAGCTTATGTGGTCGATCTTCCTCCAGGTACAGATTGGTCTTGCCTCTGGTGGTCACTAATGCTGACCTGGGGCTCCTGCAATTGTAGACAGGGCCAAGGCTCTGGTGGGTGCAGAAGGTGGGGGTATGTAGAGGCTGCTCCCAGGTCTCTGGGGCTTGGCTGGGTGGGAGTAGGGCACAGGATATGCCTCCAGGGGCTAGGGCCTAAAGAGTAGAGCCCTCCAGGTGGGGACCCAGATACTCACCTCTCCAAGTGGGGGCCATTTTCAGTTGTTTACTGTCTGAGCTTTAAGAGCTTCGCAGCCAGGTAGAGGGGATTTTTTTGCAGAAGAAGTTGATATTCAGTAATTTATATACATAAGTGAGTTTTTAGATGTGTATTCTATTATTATATGATTATATATTACTACTATTATTCTAAAATCCTGAGATTTTGATGTATAGAATCCCAGCTTCAACCCAGGAGTCTCTAAGTTTGCCTCCTGTCTCTTTCAGTGTCCAGACATTACTTTTTTTCTCGTTCTCCCTTTTTATTGTCCAAAGTATATCATTGGACCAATTTGCTACCAAAGAGTAAGGCAGAGCAAATCTCTCTTCCAAGGACAGGGGGATCTATAGGCCACAAAGAAGCAAGCAGAGCATGGAAAAGACAGGAAACTGAATTTACAACCAAGCACTCAGGTTTAGATACAGCTGTGTAAGGCGTGGGAACATCAAGTTTTCGAAGGTGTGTGGATTAATATCTAGGTCTTCGCTTCGGTTCGATTGGTTCTCCTGTCTGTCTTATGCCAATACCAGGCTGTTTCCAGTACTGTAGCTCTGTAGTTGAGTTTGAAGTCAGGGATTGTGATGCCTCCAGAACTTCTTTTATTGTACAGGATTGTTTGGGCTATCCTGGGTTTTTTGCTTTTCCAAATGAAGTTAAGTACCGTTCTTTCAAGGTCTGTGAAGAATTTTTCTGGGATTTTTGAATTTTTGAATCTGTAGATTGCTTTTGGTAAGATTGCCATTTTTACTATGTTAATTCTTCCTACCCAAGAGCATGGAAGATCTTTCCACTTTCTGGTGTCTTCAATTTCTTTCTTCAAAGATTTAAAGTTCTTGCCATACAAGTCTTCCACTTGTTTGGTTAGAGTTACTCCAAGATAGTTTATGCTAGTTGGGGCTATTGTGAAAGGTGATGTTTCTCTGATTTCTTTCTCAGCCCTTTTATCATCTGTGTACAGGAGGGCTACTGATTTTTTTGAGTTAATCTTGTATCCTGCTACATTCCAGTCATTACTTTTAACCCTATACTTGGCATTTGTTGATAAAACAGGTCCACTTTGTTTTTCCAGCTTTAGAACTGACCATATTTCTAAGGGCACACTTCCTTTTCTTACTATGAAAAACCTGTCTAGTTGATTTCTTCAACGCATACACATAATTTCAAAACTGCTAGCCATTATCTCTGTGAAGAACATCCTAACAGAGTATTCATGTGTCCAGTTCTTTTTTTTTTTACATACTAGGTAAAATATACATAAAATTTATCATCAACCATTTTTACATGTACAAATTTGTGGTGCTTAGCATTCAGCTACTTTCATCTTATTTTACATCTCTTACCATTATCTTAGTCACTGTTCTGTCACTGTGATGTGATACCATGACCATGGGGGCTGGCTTACAATGTCAGAGAGTTAGTTCATTATTATCGTGCTGGAGGGCATGGCCCACACATGGTGCTGGGGGAGTAGCTACGATCTACATCCTGATCCCACAAAGCTCAACCCCAGAGACACTCTTCCTCCAATAAGGCCACACTTCCTAATCTTTCTAATCCTCAAATAGTGCTACTCTCTATTAACATTCAAACATATGAGCCTATGGGGGTTGTTCTTATTCAAACTTCCACACCATTATCTATCTCCAGAGACATTTTTGTCATCAAAACTGAAATTCCACACATTAAATAGCCATGTTTATTTTGCTCTCCCTCTTCCTTGTAAGCTCTGTTCTCCTGCACTGTCTGTTAGTAATAGTAATTCACATAAGCAGACCCTGCAGTGCTTGCCCTTTCCTCTTGGTGCACTTAGTTTCATACTTTAGAGCTTTTTCATGTATCAGAATTTTGTTCCTTTTAAAACTTGATAATAGCCCATGATAATTGCATTCCTATGAACAAATACCTACCAAAACCAATATAAGAAGGGTATTTATTGAATCATGGTTTGAGAAAGTTCAGTTCTTGGTCATTTGTCTCCATTCACTTGGACAGAGAATCGTGGTAGTGCTGGTAGCATTCATTTGTGACAAGCAGGAAGCAGTAGTTATAGGAAATGGCTAGGGACCATGACTTGAGAGGTGTGTGTGTGTATGTGTGTCTGTGTCTGTTTATAGGTCCTACATCCTACCTAATCCACAAGCTTCTCTTATAGCACCACTGTCTATATTTAAAGCTTAAGCTGTGAGAAACATTTCATATTCAAACCATAGCAGTATTTGTTCATCCTGTTGTTCTTAAATCTGACTGATAGAGACTTTTGCTGTTTGTACCTGTTGGTTGTTATGAGGAATGATGTTGCAGATATGGAGGTGCCAGGACCACAGTTCCTGCTTTTAATTTTTTACTAGCTCATGTGGTAAATACATGTTTAAATTTCTAAGGAACCAACACATTTTCCACAATGGCTGTACTATTCTGTCCCACCAGGAGTGAGCTCCAGTTTCGCCACAACCTTGCAACATTTGAGCAGCTTTTCAATTATTTTTTACTTATAACCCTCACTGTATGAAAACCGGAATCTCATTGGAGGTGTGAGTCATAAACATCTTTTCAGGGTTACTTAGCTTAG